GGAATGGCTGGGGGTGCCAACACAGCAGACACGGATATCAGAGCATAAGTGCTCTAGTCGGGGGAGGGAGGCTATGGGAGGTGCTATCTGGGAAGTGGGTATAAAAATAAATAAATTAAAATAATAATAATTCTTCAAAGCATAAAAATTTGCTCCTTAATAATTGGTGGATGTGAAAAACATTATCATTGAAATCTACCTGATGACTTTATATCCATGCTCATATGCCAAGGAGCTCAGAAAGCAACCAACTGTGACTAGTAATAATCAGATATAGAGAGATTGGAATGTGTGTCTTAGTGTCAATTGTATTAAAAATGAATTTTTCTGCATGAAACTGTGTATTTTAATAATGCAATGGAGATCTTTTTTAAGTTTAAAACCTCATTTAATTTTATGTCTTATAGGGTTTATACGGAGTACAATATTGTATAACTGTATTAATTCAACTGTAAACATAGAGTTTATAATGAGTAAAAGATTATATAAGCGTAATAATTCATCTGTAAACCTAGAAATGTACAGCCAACTTTGAAGAGATGCATTCTTAGCTCTGGAAATTGTTATTGAATATGTCAATGCTGTTGCAATGAAATGCTTCTTCTAATTATATGGTTATTGAATAAATAATTTTTTTTAAAAAAGAAGCAAAGTTTTAAGATAAAGGAATGAGTCTTCCAGGCCTGTGCTAGACAACCACCCTGTGTAAGTCCTCTGAGACCATTCCCACAGAGCACTGCAACCGGAAAAGGGCATCTTAACTCTTTCCATGTGCTCAACCTGTCTAAGCCCCCTAGAACCCACAGGACTAACCTGCACTCACTTCTCTTCATTCTCAAAGCCTTGTTGGGCATACTCACATGCTCACTTTTTGAGCTGTCTTCATATTTCAAAGGCAATTGATCTGGAGGATGTGAGCTGAAATCTCAGACCTGCTGCTGACCAACAGAAACACCCTTCAGGGAAATGACCTTTACTCAGCTTCCTCTCCTAAGGGAATATTCCTGAGGTCCCTCGGCCAGGGCAGCAAGGACCTGGACAAAGCCTGCCTGTCTGGCTCCTTTTCACTTATGTGTTTATTTAGGCAGTACTGGAGATTGAATCCAGGGTCTTTATCATGCTAGGCAAGTGCTCTACTTCTACTGAGCTCCTTCCACAGCTCCTGTTTCCTTTCCCTGTCTAGCAGTTCTTCAGGTAAGGATTCTCAATAAGCACACAAGGCAAATTTGCTCATTCTCTTTATTCCACCCAATAAAAATAAATCCAAATGGTACCCAGATTTAAAACACCAATGAAGAAGTTAAAGGAAGAGAGAGGGAGGCACCCACCCACATATCATTCCATTCAGAGGCACTATCCCATATTTACTGTGGGGTTTATAATTAACATACAAGCTTAACTTGAAACAGAAATTTCTGGGTTCTCTTGTAATTTATACAAGAGTCTGGCTTATTCCAAAGTCAGATCACAAATAGGACTGGATTCCTGGCTGTCTCTGAAGGTCTTCTTGGTACTCCCCTTGGGTTTTCTGCAATCACTTAGCCCTGGGTATGACAGCAGGATGACAGGGGCTGGCCTAGCTCAGGTGCAGGCAGACAGAGCAGAGCAGTTGCTCCATACCACCCACTTACATCCCACTAGCTGCATGGAGCTGTCCACAGGCCTGCTGGAGAACCATCAGATTACACTCATGAATTCATTGTACCTTCTAGAGATCCCTACTATCTGTGTCCTACCTGTCATTGCCACCCCAGGCCCTCAGGCAAATGTGTTCAGTGAAGGCTGTGTGAGGCAGCTGCCTCTACAGTGCAGCTACTTGCCCAAGGCAGAGCCATGCAGCACCAACCTGTAAGCCCAGCTCTTGGAAGGTGGAAGCAGGAGGATCAGTAGTTCAAGGTTATCTTTAGTTGCACACCAAGTTCAAGACTAGTGGCTACATGAGGCTATGCCTCAAAAACAAACAAACCCCCCAAACTAAAAAAGAGCTATAATATCAGAACAAGAAGACTCCTCCTTTTGCAGAATGGGGAACTGAGATCAGAAATAAAAACTTCGTCTGGGACCATAGTATTATTTCCTGGTAGGTAGATGACTAGACTTCAGCTCTCAAACTCTCAGCTCAGGCATCTCTCCTCGTAATTCCAGAGACAGCTCAAGGTTTTCCACCTAGTGGTGAAAACTACACAGGACATGATTGATTGATTGATTAGGCCTGAGGTAGAACTCCCAGACACTGCCACAGATTACCTCAGGATGGAAGTGTGGGTCCAACAGGGTGGGTAATACCTCCACTAGGTCACCTGACTCTAGAGCTCCCCTTGACTTTGCTATAACTAGGAGTACTGCAATGATCTTCCAATTCCCAGAACACCTCTTGAAAACCTGGCCAGGTGAGCATAAGTCCTTTGAGAATCATCAGAATGGGGCCAGCAAGATGACTCAGTAGGTAAAAGTACTTGCTACAAAGCCTGACAACCTGAGTCTGATTCCCAGAGCTCACACAAAGGTAGAAGAGAAGTGATTCCACAAAGGTGCAGCATGAGCATGCCCATATACACACATCATACACACATCACATACAATATAATGAATAATTGTAATAATTTTTTGAAAGAAAAGAATCACTGGCTCTTACCTGAGGAACTAGCATGTTTATAAGCCTAATATGAGACATGGTGAATTGTAACAGAAGGAAAAGACCTTGGTTTTTATGTTTTCCAATAGAAAGACCATTTGTAAAACTCAGAAATCTTTCTGTCACCTTCAAGGTAGTTAAACATTATAGTAACTAATGAAACATAGCGTGATTTACTAGTATAATAATTAGTGGCACTTTGAACTGGTTTTATTTTAGTGTACAGCAGGATCATTTGAATATTTTTCATATTAGACACATTGTACACAAGGGCATTGGTTTATGGGTGAGTCTACAAACCCCTCCCCCAAAATCTGAAGAGTCCAGGCAACATGTTAGGAAAGCCTGCCACTGCTACCACATGAGCATACCTAGTTAGCAGGCACTTAAGAGAGGGAACTTGTAGGCAGAGAGTAAGAGGAAGCTCACTGAGTATACTTCATTTACCTCATAATTTAGGGGTGGTGGAGTTCTAGGTCTCACGTAGCCCAGGCTGGCCTAGAACTTGCTATATAGCTGAGGGTGGCCTTCAAATCTGGAGGCCTCTGGGATCACAGGTATGCACCACCACACCCAGCATATTTCATTCACCGTTCTGTTTATAACCAACCCTGCAGGCCATTATTTTCCAATGATCAATATTTTCCAATGATCAATATAAAATCATGATTACAAACCAAGATTCACATTTGGGTAGAGAAATTGTCGGGCAGAGCCAGATGCCATAGGATGTAACACATGACAAAGAGGACAACATAAAGCAGGTCACCTGATGCCAAATTTACTTCTCTGAAGGAGTACAAATTAGTACTCTTGATCCTCCAGGCTCCCAAGTGCTAGGATTACAGACCACCACACAGGTCAAGGCTGTTCTGCTTTTTTGTTTCGTTTTGGGGTTTTGGGTGTTGTTTTTTAAGACAGGGTCTCCCTACAGCCCTATAGTTAGCCTAGAACTTGCTATGTAGACCAGGCTGGCAGAGCTCCATCTGTCTCTGCTTCCTGAGTGCTGGGTTAAAAGGTTTGCATCACCACACCTGGCTGTTTTAATTTTTAATTATGTGTAATTGTATTTGTTTGTGTGAATGTATGCCACCTGTGTGCCAGTACCCACGGAGATCAGAGGTGTCAGATCCCCTGGAAGTGGAGTTGCAGGGGGTTATGAGCCATCATGAGTACTGGGAACTGAACTCAGGTCCCGAGCAAGCACTTTTAACTGCTAAACTGAGTGAAAGGAATAGCAAGTAACAAAGAAAATGGCCTATGCACAAACTAGTGTGGCAAACCATGTGCACAGCAAAGGAGCCCATTTCAACACTAACCCTAAGGTATCTCGAAGTCTATGCTATATATCCACTGGGTGTCACACTTAGGTTTTATAATAAAAAAGTAGAAAGAAAACAGTAAAACCAACATTTAAAATGCATAGTTTCTTAGAAATAAATGAAAACTTCTAACATTTAAGGATACTTATGCGCCCGTCCTCCAGGTGCATCCCCTCCCACTCCCCTCTGTTACTGATCTCAGCACACTATTACTGCCCCTGTACAACTCTCTCTCTCTCTCTCTCTCTCTCTCTCTCTCTCTCTCTCTCT